CGTGTCTGAGTTTCTGAATCTGAATCAGTATAAGTTTCTTCTGATGTTTGAATCTGCTGACAGTAAACAAACCAAACCAGCTGCATTTCAGTCACTGGTGTTACAGCAGGTCACTGTCGGGCCTGTTTTACACACTCAGTGTGGTGAGCGACACTACAGCTCACACTGGTCACTCATATGGTCAGCGTCTGAATTGCAGAGCGATACAGGAAGCAGGTCCTACAGACATCCTTTTCCAAATCAATAGTCAAATCAGTTACTCATTTAAGAGAGAATTTATAACCGACAGCTTTGTCATTTGAAGCTTGGTAGATCTTTCAGATCAAGATCATTCAGCATCGACTAGAACCTTAACTTGAAAGAGAACCGCTGGACGTACAACTGGGATCCAGGCGGAGGAACAAGAGACGTCATCGCTGAAACATGCTGGCTAATTGAAAAAGCCAAAGAACTCAGTGTGTTTCATTCATAACAGCAAAGTCTTCAACACTGTTGACCACGTAGAATTATGGGATATCCTCAGGAACATGGGAATAGCAGAGCATCTCATCATCCTAAAGCCTGGCAGATTATGGACAATCTAAATTGTTCCACATCAGAAAATTAGTTAGACAAGACTGCCCACCTTCACCGTCCATGATCTGTATACTGAAACATCAATAACCACCAATACGTGGATGACACAACGCTAACATAGTGGAACATAGCGGAAAACCTGAAAGATCATTTGAAGAAAATTTAAGGAAAAGAGTGAAAAGATGCGACTTCAGCTCAACATGAAGAAAATAAAGGGTTATGAATTTGAGAAAGACCACGAGCTCCACCACTAAGGGAGAAGACGTAGAAGCTTTTGTTTACTTTTAATGATTAACCACAAAAAGGTTGAGCACTCAAGAAATACAAGATCGGCTCTCAGAAGAATCTTCAATGTACACTCTAGACTTAATACTGACCTTAGGTATAGACATTAAGCATTTGGCCATCCTTCCTCAGACCACAGCAGTGTCAGATCACTACTTAATCTCATATGAAATCAGTTTTAGTCGTAATATATGTTTATCCACACGCTATAGTGTTAAACGTACTATAACATCGTCTACACCCAATAGCTTTACTGAAAACCTTCCAGATCTCTCGTCCTTAACCCAATGAATTAGATATGCTGACTAAATGTTTGGAGGACACTTTTCGCTCCACTTTAGATAATGTGGCTCCATTAAAAAGTAAAAGAATAAGGCAGAAAAGGCTCCATGGTACCATGACCATACTCGAGCTATGAAACAGACTGTTAGGTGATTAGAGCGTAAATGGCGTCAGACTAAACTTGAGGTTTTCCAATCTGCCTGGAAGGAGAGTCTTATAGACTATAGAGAAGCACTAAAGTCAGCACGTTCAGCCTCTCAGTCTCTCGTCATTGATTGGAAATAACAAGAATAATCCTAGACTACTATTCAGTACTATCTCTAAATTAACTAATAATCAAGCAGCTACTGAAGCCCAGATACCATCAGCCTACAGCAGCAATGACTTCATGAACTTCTTCAATAATAAAATTGAATTGATTAGGCACAAAATTCAAAATGCGCAGCATTGCAGTGCAGCGTCCTATAAACCTAATCTAGACCTAGAGTGCAGTATAACCACTACAGAGACGCTGGAGTCTTTTACTTTACTCCAACAAACAGAGCTCGTCCAAATTATTTCATCTACAAAAACAACAACTTGTATACTAGATCCACTTCCTACAGGTTTACTTGAAGATGTTTTGCCAGAAATAACTAAGCCCTTTCTATCTATAATAAACTCTTCTCTCAGCCTCGGCTATGTTCCAAAATCTCTTAAATTAGGTGTAATTAAACCCTTAATAAAGAAACCCAGTCTTGACCCCTCTGAGTTATCAAACTATAGACCTATTTCAAATCTTCCCTTTTTATCAAAGATTTTAGAGAAAGCCGTGGCAAAACAATTATGTTCCCATCTGCATAGGAGTGATATATATGAAAAATTTCAGCCTGGCTTCAGGCCTCACCCTAGTACTGAAACAGCGTTAGTGAAAAGTGTAAATGATCTTTTATTCTCCGCTGACAAAGGAAACATATGCTTACTGGTTTTACTCGATCGTAGTGCAGCATTTGACACAATAGACCATTCCATTCTATTAGACAGGCTTGAGAAACTAGTAGGAGTGACAGGTGAAGCTCTTTCGTGGCTCAAATCTTACCTTAGTGATCGCTTTGAGTTTGTTAATGTAAATGATGAACCATCAGCTCTCACAAGAGTAAAGTATGGTGTTCCACAGGGCTCTGTCTTAGGACCCATGTTATTTACCTTATATATGCTACCACTAGGTAGCATCATTAGAAAACATGGCATCAGTTTCCACTGCTATGCCGATGATACACAATTATATATTTCAGCTAAACCAGAGGACAAAACTGAACTTAATAAGATAGAGGACTGTGTCAAAGACATTAAAGACTGGATGTCAAGCAACTTCCTT